TTCTTTCTTAGTGGCACACCCACAGAGAACTGTTGTTATTTATCTCTGCTTTTGCAGCACCTTTCCTTGATAAACTCTCACTGTTCTCTCAGTGTTGGTTCCAGATGGAGCCTTTTACAATGAAAAAGCTCTAAATAGTCTTTGTACACCTGCTCATCATCAAACAAACAACAAACTAACTGGTGAATGTACCGCAGTAGAGTATTTGTGCAGCCGGATATTTCACTCAGGAGTTGCTGGAGGGTAACTTAGATTCATCAGGTGTCAAGAAACATGATTTCAAATGAATGCTAATGTTGCTCTGTATCTGCTGTTTGTAAAATAAACAACAGTTTGGCAACAAGTTCACTATATCAACTTTTCAAAGATGCTAAAATGTCAGATGTGTATACAGCTTGTATCCATTGCACCCAACAATTAAAAGTCAGTTAGTGCAGGTGCAAGTCAGCTAGGTTTATACCAAGCACCTAGTGGTGCTGCTACTACATTTGAAACAAAGGTGTCATCCGACCATGGCTCAAGCTAAACACTTGAAGCCAAGGCGACAAGGCTGTCATCTCAACCTCCTCTTCAACTGCCCGGTTGATCACTTTCCAAGAAATTGGTCTTTTTTGTGTCTCAGCATAATGAATTGCAGACAGTGTTTTCCTTAAAGGTGTTCACATGAACAAATATGACCAAAGTGTATAGAATGAAAAGGAGAGATTTTAAGAGAAATGTCTGAAGGGTGACTTGACTTGTTCATTCTGACATTGTTAGTCTTTTCCAACCAAAATGCAGGTGATATGGTCAAATATCATGGATGAATTAGACTTTCCTGCCCACTTCACACAAATGGACAAGTGTTAGGAAGGTAGGGCCTGAACTTAGCCCTTGAGTTCTCTTTCTGTTACTTTTCATGTGTACAACCTCCATGAATGAAAAAACTAAAGGCGTATGCAAATACTGTAGTTATCATTTTTCTCTCCACTCTGTTACAGCTGGCTTTTCACTCCTCTTTTGAGTGTGGGTGTCTGGAACAACTATAAACACTTCTGACGTAGTTGGATGACACAGCATACAAGCTAATTATGTTCAAGTATATTCCTGCATTTAGACAATCCAACAGGTACAGGTTCCGGATTAGTGTAATTTTCACACATATGCATACAGGGATACTGAGGACCGTTTAGCTGAAGCAGTTTAACATTATAGGAACCTATCGAAATGTGTCGAGCTGAGCAGATAGATACTTTATTTATCCTGAGTGAAATTCAGGTATCCAGCAGCAACAGCAATAATTATCAAAATCACATAAAGAAAACACGTTTCAAGTAAAGCAGTGGTCCCCAACCCCCGGGCCGCGGACCGGTACCGGTCCGTGGATCAATTGGTACCGGGCCGCACAAGAAATCATTAATTATTTCCGCTTTATTTATAATCCGAGTATGAACGATCTTTTATTTTGAAAAATGACCGCATTCTCTCGGTTACATCTCGGTCACTTGAGCGCCAAAACTGGCTTACTTGTGGACATATTCAGCCTGCTCAATGAACTCAATCTGTCACTTCAGGGGAAAATGACAACTGTCTTCAAGTTGGCAGATAAAGTAGCTGCATTTAAAGCCAAACTGGATTTGTGGGGACGGCGCGTCAACAGAGGCATTTTGGACATGTTTCAAACATTAGCGGGGATTTGGGGTGACACTGAGCCTGAGTCTTCATTCTCCCAGCTGGTGCACGATCACATGTCTTTGCTTTTAAAAGAGTTCGAGCGCTACTTCCCAACCACAAAGGACCCACGAACTGCCAAGGAAGGGATCCGCAACCCATTTGTCAACAAACCAGGTGAATCCAGCAGGTCTGTGCAAGAAGAAGATCAACTGCTGGAGATCGCAAATGACGGCGGCCTTAAAAGTATGTTCGAGACAACAACTCTGTCGGTGTTCTGGATTAAAGTCATGACAGAATACCCTGAGATCGCCACCACAGCACTGAAAACCCTGTTGCCATTTCCGACATCCTCCGCTCCGCTTGTGAAACAAGTTCAGGGCTCCCATTGATTTAGCGTTATGGGGAGTTAAAAATTTCAACACAGTGGATTCACGTTTATTATTATATAAACAACCCCCCCTCCACCCCGGGCCGCGGTAAGATTGTCAAGCGTTGACCGGTCCGCAGTGATAAAAAGGTTGGGGACCACTGAAGTAAAGAACTGTATAAAAGTGTAAAACTGAAATGGAAGGGGGAAAAAAAATCCAAGAAATAAATGTAAAAATAAGAATACAGGAAATATATATAATTTGCACATATTGAGTAACGTGTGCCAGGTATGCAGTGTACATAGAGTATACATAATAAGTAAATGTGCATGGGGTACCTGTGTATAGTGCCAGTATATGCAAGACTGAACACTGTGTGCAAGGAGTGATGCTTATCATTGGTTCTGCGTTTGTTCTGGGACCTAAATTTTGGCACAACTCAAGAGCTAGTATTAAAATCAAGTACCAGGACAAGAGGGGAGGGGGAGCAGTTTTTGGTGATTGGTTAAATGTCTGCGTCTTCACACCGCACGTATTCGCACCATGTGTAAACACACAGCTTACTGTGTGTGAGAGAGAGGAGCAGCCCCTCCCACCTCTAAACAGAGTCCGACAGAGAGAAAGTGCAGTGGAAAAACAAAACATGATGATCCAGGTCAACCCCGGAGGCTACGCTTATATACAGCTCGTTAGGTTCTGATAGTGGAAACACAACATAACTGTCCTGATTCAAATCTTAATTCAACTAATACCCTAAACTTTAAAAAAAATAACATCAAAATATCTGCAGTTTGTGGCACAGTCATTCTCCATCTCTCTCTGCCCTTATTACCAGCCATCTCTTTACAATTATCATTTTAATAAAGGCATGAAAATCCACAAAAAACCACTTCAGGCATTGACTTGGCAAATTGTGGGTCAAAATGGAGCTTATTCATTGAACTATATGCAATGAAATTTTTTTTATATTTGATGCCTAGGTTAAGTAAAACCATTTTAACATTTGTCTGTACTTAATTGTGAAGCAACTCTTAGCTGCTCCTTGAAATAAAAATGAAATAATGTTCTAAAGCAACTTTGCCATTTCCTCTAACATTTTGACCTTCCAACAAATCAATGTTTTCTGGGTAAACTTTCTCCTCTTTGAAATATAAAAGTGCTACAAGCCTGTAGACCAAAACCATCTATTTTTTCAACATCACATATTTCATTTGAGGAATTTGAGACACACCCTAATACTAGCTGTTCCATCAACAACGCTCAGCGGTAGAATAGCACTGGAAAAAGCTGTTATGATAATTACTGGCGTCCATAAAAACAGCCAGCCTCCCAGGAAAGGCTGTGGGAAGAAAATACAGTGGGATCTTGACTGGGGAATACTGGAATCTTGGGCTGGAAACTGTGGGAAGAGGACATGGTGGGAAGAATCTGGATCTGAAGAGCTCCCTGCCCTCCTTTCCAGGGAGGGAAAACTACCAAATGAGACTCATGAGCCTGTTGCACTGTGTCCGTTGCGTGGGTCTTTTGTCTTATATGCTGGTGTCAAACGCAGACAAATGGACCAAGTTCCTCCATGTTGTAATTACTGTGGGCTGAGAAATGGCGTTTCCCCGTGTGCTGTGTCATTAGGATTAGCACTCAGCAGGGTGTTGCTTTCCATTCTCCTGTAGCAAAAAACTCAATATCCCATCTGTCACAAGCCATTCTCCACAGCTAAACAGAGCCTGGCTGCAGTAACGGAGCCTAAACGGATTAATCCTCTCCAGCCAACATCATCTGCTGCACCTTGTTTGCAGGGGAAAAAAGACAGAGCATACCTGTAACCACGACAGCATGTAATGAAAAAGGAAGACGCACATCCCAGCAGTGCTTCTGTTCGAGGTTGCACTTTGAATTTACAGCTTTGAAATAAAGAATGCGGCTCGCAACCTAAAAGGCTATGAAGTCAGGTGTAAACGCAACAAGTGGAGTTTAGTTCACTTGTTTTAGATTCACACCGAAAGCATTTCACCAAATTATTTTGAGACGTGCTTGTCACTATATTTTAATGTGTCCATTACACAACACTAATATGTAGCGTTGCTCCGCTGCCTGTAATAGTTGCCTCAAAGTGGCTTTAAAAGTATCGTACAGTAATGTTAGCTAACATTACTGTACGATTCTGCATGGTGCATTTTGAGGTGTCTATTTCGGTGTGTCTTGTTCTTCCCAGGAATTCTGTAGCTACAAAATATCTCTCAAACCAATGCTACACACTCACCATTTCGCTCAGCGACATTATATTTGATGTAGGTCCAAATGTTTTTCTGAACACCCCACTGTCTTGCTGACTGACCTAGAGGGACAATTGGCCACATGCAATGCTGCTAAACCATCATGGGCTTTGAAAATTAATAATACAATTTTAAAATCAGTTTTTAAAGAGAGCGTTTTGGTGTGTCAATATTTTAAAAACTCACTGATTAATGCATTGTTTAACTAAATTAACACTAACTACAAGAACTAAGAGGGCTCACATTTCACTACAGAGACAATTTATTTAAAAGGTCATAAGCAATTTGAGTCTTGTAATTTTCATGTTGAAATGAGCCCTTGTGTGTCGTACCTGCCACACATCACTGGAGACAGAATAAATCCACATTCCATTCATTCAGCGTTTTCATTGTACAATTAAGCTACGGTGAGGTGTGCTATTAACCTCTGACTTTGCCTCCATGTTTCACTTACACAGCTGTTGTGAATTGAACCCCTGGTACTAATGCCCAGCTTAACAACTCTGACATTTAACTGAAAGTGCTGATTTTTCCCTGCTCTTTTACACATTGTGCAGTTTGTCTTCTGCTGTTCTTTCACAGATGTGGTCATTAATTAGACATCAGCATAAAGTGAGAAGCTGAAATGTGCTGCCAATGGAAACATTTCATTTTAAGATACATCAATCCTTCCTGTTTTTCACCTTTTGGTCTGTGTTGTCTGCAGGTGTGCTGAGCCTTCCAGAGAGTCTGAACCTGCACCGAGACCAGCAGCGCTCGGGGAGGGGTGGTGAGGATCATGGCTACACCCAGGCTGAGCTCCGCACACTGGAACAGTCGCTGCTTGCAACCCGGGTGGGCAGCATCGCAGAACTGAGTGAGTACACTTCTAACAGTTTACAGTACACAATGTTAGATGAACTTAAGGGCGTGTTTATGGCTGCAGTTCAGCTCATTTGCTCCAGTGCAAGAGAAATATTTCAAGGTCAAAGGTCAAAGTGTTTATTTGTCATATGCACAGTTAGGAAACATGTTTCCCTGTACAATGAAATTCTTACTTTCTTTCTTTTACTTTTCACAATACAAGTGAAATATAAAGTGGATGAGCAGTAAGACAAATCCAAGGCACTTTAAAGCAGCAAGGGAAGGAATCAAATTAAAATACAAGAACACAATATAATGCACAGACAATACATGCTACGTGGGAGCCATGAAGTGCAAATATTCAGAAGTGAGTGTGCAATTATGCATGTGCAAAATGAGTATGTAAACAGTACAGATGGAATTACATGAGGTAGATCCTGAGTCAGCTGTTTAGGAGTCTGATGGCAGTCGGAAAGAAAGAGTTTTTCCATCTAGATCTGATACATTATCAGTCCTACAGACTGAGAGGTAACACACTGATTGGACTGTTTTGGTGATGTCATGCTGTGCCAAATAATGCATCAGATTGCAGCTCCATATTGCCTAGCTTCACTCTTTTCTACTGTTTTTGGTTGTTACTCTCCTATTGTGCAGGGAGATCATTGACTATCATGTTGATATTCACTTCATTTAAATGTAAAAACAACTATTCAGCATTTAGCAGCTTAGGTTTAGGTTTACACTCTTTGTAGAGCTGCTTGCTTTTTACTAGAGATCTCATATGGCCTAGAATCTAATGTAAAACCTGCCTCTCTCAGTACAAGGAGCTGTTGACTTAGGATGTTATTACTATTCTGTCCTTGAAATATAGAGTTTACACAACCCATAATGGTCTATTAAAAATTCCATTTTTGAAGTTGAAGATTAAATTCTTGTGAGTTCTATTAAATATAAAATGGCAATAAAATAGCCTAATTTAAATATATAAAATATTATCATCTCAGCGCTTCAGTTATTAGCCATCTGACTCTAATGTTTTAATGAATGCAACTAAAACCTTATACCATATAGTATTTTATAAATGCAGCAGTAGCTGTTATGCACAGTAAGTCAAGACTTCTTTCCATGCCTATTTGCCAAATAGGCCCATTAGTGTGAAGGAATGCACTCTCCCCGTCCCTGCAGGCTGTCATGGGAGTCTAAGGCCAACCCACTACTCTTCAGGTGTCCACTCACTGCTCACTTCAACCTCAAGCACACTGCAGCCAGGAACAATTCTATTACAGCTGCTCTAACACCTGTTTATGAGCCCCAGCTGGAGATCTTTAAATCCAAGGTCACTGCCTCACAGGCTTTTAACCTTAACTGGAAAGGAAGGGCTCCACCTTTAACTCTACAGGCCCCTCCCTCTCCCCCTCCAGCTTTGTCCTCGTCCTCTCCACAGTCACATATTAGATCATCCCCCCCCCCAAGGCATCTGCATGTGTGGTTGTATGTTTGTGTCCGTGCACATTTGTCCCGCTTGACCCCACAGAAACATTTCCCAGGTCATTTCTGGCACAGTGGAGGTACTGTAGTGTTAGTGCTGATAGCGAGACAAGAACAGATCCCTTTCAACGTCGGTGTTTCAGATCAACCCAGCGGAGTCCAAGACCCCACTGTTAGTGTGGGGTCAAAGCATATACTTGACAGCTACATTAATAAATGCTTCATAGTTTGTTTACCTCATTTCAGATATTTACTATCTACTTCTTTAATTACACAAAAAGTCTAATATGTACAAAAAAACACTTGAAATTACTAGCCTAGCATATGAACTTAAAGTAGTAAGCACAGTCAAAGACTACTGTGATCTCCGTGGCTCCAAGTAAACTGAACTAACACCCAGCTCATGTGTTTGTACAGAAATTAGGTTACTGTCCAAATATAATGCCAAGCAGATTTTTTAAGTGTATGTGAAGGTAGCACCTGTGGTATTTGACATGTAATGCAAAGTAGGGGCCTGGTTGATTTACAGTGATTACTATAATGCTCAAAATTAGAAATAATGTGCTAATGATAGATTAATATACAGTAAAATAAAAATGTGGCACACACTACCTCTAGTATCACAGTCACAACTGCATGATAGGAAGCAGGTGTTTCAGGTGGTCACACACTGCCCCCACATAAAGCATTTACATGTAAAATCTGCCTGGGAAGTCAGTTTGAACCCATTAGCTCACCACCTGAACACTAAACAAGATCACGTGACATGAAGAGGCCACACTGAGCTGGTCATCGGTGCAATTTCACACCCGACTTGTTCAGTAATTAATGGATAATACAAGAGGCTGTTAAAGAGCAACATTCATCACTCTATCCATAATTTCATTCTCTTAAGGCAGAAAAGTAAAGCCTTTATTTCTGAGGTCACCTTATAAACCTTAAAGTTGTTCCAAAATCAAACCCTGTCATTGCTACTAGAATGAAGTCAACTGTACCTGCAGGAGAAATTCACAGGAAGTGCTGCAGCAAGTAAAGTAATGGTACTGTTTTTGATTCAATCTGTTTACTGTTCACTCTCCTTACACCACATCCGAGATGGACTAAGTTACTGCAAATGTAAACTGAGCATTTCCTACTGCTGCTGCTTCATATTGAAAGCATTCAACTGGCAAAACATGGGGCGGCTTTTATTGTGAACTCAGTGCACCTGTCACTGAGACTGGAGCTGATGGCGACCCTTCTTCAAAAATGCATAATTTTTAGTATTTACTGACATCAGATTGGGGAGTAATTGCACAAGAAGAAGCAGCCACACTAAGCTGTTAGATGAGGAGGTGCAGGGGACAATGCACACATCTGACTGCACAGCAAGGTGCTCAGTATACTGTATGTGCTGTATGAATTCATCTTTAACACAGAATCGTCAAGCATACAGTAAGCACCGATTCACCAGTGTGACCAAGCAAATTAATAGTTTTTAGCAGCTTAAACTCCACACGAACAATTAGAATCTGATCACACTGTCAAATCGGCAGCTGCAGAGCTATTAACCATATGTGCAGTGCTTGTACAGGCTATAGGATTTTAACTGACCACTTCTTTAGTAAAACAACATGATGTTTTCTTGGCTGCAGAGTAAACAGATGCACCAGTTGCTCCTGCTGTGTTTCTGACAAATTAGCTCCTCTGTGGCAGCTCACTGGCACTGGAATCCAGGGACATGAAGTATTAAACCACACCTGCTGTTACCATGGTAACTACAGATGTGGCCAAACTTAATGCTTCATGGACCAAAATCAGCAGTTATATTATTTGTATATTGTCATTTCACAAGTAAATACACTTTTAGTTGAGCACTTTAGGTCTTACGATGATATACTAGTATTTATTGCAGGCCATCACAGACTCTGTGTTATCCTGGGCTGACAATAGCCAGCTTGTAAAATGAGTGGTCATGTATTCTGCTGTACATAGGCAGGCAGGAAAAGAGCTTATTCTTCAGGATTGACTGGGTTTCACAAATCGTGGAATCTTTCTCCCTCTGCAAAACTGCAGGAGTTGTGTGCTAGTACACAAAATTGCATAGGGATGGGATGTTATTTCTCTTCTTCCAAGGAAGCAATTCCCTATTGGATAGCTGATTGTGATTTTGGCCAGGGTGCATATGAACATTAGGACATGCTTCACATGTCTTTCCACAAACAGGCATTATCCTCCTGATTATTAAAGACCGTAACATTCATTTGAGCAACCTACATTTCATTGAGATTTCATTAATATCATAGCTGTTTAAAGCTGTGACTCAGACTAACATCCCATCATCTCTCCTCCATTATCTCACACTCACTATGTGAACAGGGGATAATGGAAAAGCTTCACACACACGGACCGAGGAGATTCACAGGGAAGTGTTAGGTTTCATCTTGAGACATCCATTCTATTCTCATTTTTCATTATATTATAGTTAAAATACTCGTCCTACTTCACCATGCATCATTTTTCCTAATCTCATAGTCTGAACCACTTCTCAGCATGGGTGATAGAAAGGAAAGTGAGAAACTGAGTCAGACTTAAGTTGATAAAAGGCCTCATCTAGTCAGTAAACAGGCTAATGTATTTTGAGCTATAGGGTTGCATATTTTACCCATATGACCACATCATATACTTATACTACTGTCATGTTCTTTCTGTTTTCTTTCTAATGGAAATGTCAGAGCAGAACAGTATCTCAGTGTTCTTTTCACTTTTGGAGGCCTCTGATGGTGCAGTACCATTCACTTCCTCGTATCTGTCCATCTGAGTGCACTAAAAGGCAAAGGGACGAGGTCGGCTCTTTCAGTGACTGAAACAGGGCACGGCTGTTCTCCTTATTTGTTTCCCAGCACCTTCAGGAGGACAGCGAGGACATGCCGCTGTAAACACGCAGCGCATGCATCTCTTCATTTCACAGAAAAGACACAATGTGGAAAGTCTTGTTGTTGCCGTTGCTGTATACTGCAGTAATTACATGAGGCTGGACTCTTTATTGTATAATGATTTAATGTCCCATGATACCTGCCACAGGATCCCACTCACTCATCGCAGCTCTGTGCTGCAAAGATTAAAATAGAGATTAAAGAGCTGCTTGGAGAATAGTTTCTGGATTTTTCAAAAAAGAAATGTAGGGCCATCTTTTTGGGCTTCAGTTATTCACACCTGGCGGTCCTTTTCAGTTTGGGTTCTTGTTTTTAAAATGTAATGGCTGAAGTGTCTTAAGTGTGTTGTTGGCCATTTCCAGGTCAAAGCAAAATGTGGTGTAAATATAGTTGAAACCTTTTAAATGTTTAGGATATTTATGACTGTAGTTTCACCAACATTCCAGTGACTGTATTTCAACATGTATTTACAACTAGCTTCACATTGAACTATAGTTATTTAGATACAATTACAACAATTATATGACATAATACTTTGACAAAATAAAATCATTCCAAGACCAAGGTCAAATTAAATACTGAAATGATGCTGTAACTGTCAACTTCTTTA